TGAAAGGAGCTAACGGAAGACTGAGCCAACATCTTCCCTTAAAATTCCTATCAAACTGTTTAATAAATAAATACTACCAAAATAAAATACAAAATAAAAAAAAATAATATATATATATATATATATATATTATTTTTTATATATATAAATGAACCATTTAAAAACTAAAAACTAAAATTAAATCTTTAAATATTCACCAACATATATTTTTGTTTATTATAAGCTGTCACCTAATTAAAGACATATATCTGAGCTGTGTTTTTCAGAAAATGTTCCTATTCGACTAACTTACTAAAATAAATTGTCTTTTAATTTAAAAAACAGCAAATTATTATGCCTTTACTAAAAAATAGACATTATTTCAGCTTATTTTGAGCATAAAAAATAAAAAACGGCATCAGTGTGACAACGTGACTGATGCAGTACATTTTAGAGTTTTAACACAGAATTTATATAAAATGTATATATATATATATATATATATATATATATATATAGTTAAAACAATTTACAGTACAGTATTTTATTTATTTTATTTTTTAAGTCTTTACTATTATGTTATTCTACACACTTTTATAAGGTCCACATTTGTGTGACAATTTTTTCTATAATTTTTGCTGATGTAAACACCAGAATTTCCCCATTGTGGGACAATAAAGGGATTTTCTATTCTATTCTAATCTATTCTATTCTATTCTATTCTATTCTATTCTATTCTATATGTGCACAAAGATTAATCCCAATGACATAGAAAAAACAGCATATCATGAATAAATCACCCTCCTTGTTCAAGCAAAACAACAACAATCAGGCTGAAATATAAATAATGACAATAAATGCAAAAACAAACAAAAATAAAAAATCCAAAAGCAGAAGAAAATGGTTCAAGCTGCGCTGCCGATTCTCTATTTGTTGGGGGAGGAGGAAAAAAAAAAGAAAAGGTGGCCCAAGGTGTCCTAATACCTTCACTACATATCTCTGGGCAACAAAGCCCAGATCTCGCCAAAGCGCTCCGGTGCCAGCGCTGCCACACACCGGCCGCTCAGCGCCGCCAAGCTTTGCTGCCACAAACCCGCTGCTGAAATGCGCCGCTAAAAGCTCAGCCATAGCCTTCCCTATCTGCGCTCTACACACACAGCATGCAGGGGAGGGAAGGAAGGAAAAAAGGAAACAAAAAAAGAAACCCAAAAAACCAAGGAGAGCTCCAAGCAGAGTCACATTTCCACAACAAACTGAAAGTAGACACCAAAACAGCACAGATAAGCGCACTGCAAGAGGAAGACAGACGGCCTGGTAGTTACCATTTTGCACTCTCATCATAAATTTGGCACGGCGCTAAAAGTGAAAAAAAAAAAAAAAAAAATCTGCACTTTTTTTCTCTCTTTTTTTTGCGCTCCCAAATGTAAAGCAAGTGTTGGTTTGGCAAGGAGAAAAAAAAAAACACTTAGAGGGATGATTAAAAATAAACTTTCACAAATAAATAGCCGTTCATTAGAAGCAAGTTTTTAAGTAAAATAAAAAAAAATGTTTAAAAAACTGTCAGAAAAATTAATAAAAAAAAAAAAAAAACGCAACTTTGCGCATTCCAAAAAAAAAAAAAAAAAATCCTTGGCAAAGTGCGCACTAATTGGTAGCGGTGTCTGTTCTGATCCCTTGGCCCGCCTCACACACACACACTCTCACTCTCTCTCACTCTCTCACACACACACACACAGATGGGGGAGCCGAGGAGAGCGAAGCGCAGTCGAGGAGGAAAAAAAAAAAAACGGGAAAAAAAACGCAGAGCGGAATCAATGTTGGACCAGCGCAAAGGACCGCTGGCAAAGCCGAGCGCTGCCTCTCCTTTTTTCCTCCTTTTCTCTCTTTCTGTGTCTCTCCTCCTCTCCGCGTTCTCTCCCTAACCATCGCTTGAGCCTCTGCCAGCGCGACGAGAAGGCCCACCTATTTGGCACCGAGATGCCCGCAGCCCAGCCAATGCTTGGAGAGCCGAAAGGGAGGGGAGGAGAGAGAGAGGCAGAGAGAGAGAGAGAGGGAGAGGGATGGATGGATGAGGGGGGAGGAGGAGGGAGGCAGGTTAGGGTGGTAGAGAGGTGCAGGTGGGAGTTTTGGAAAAAGACAAGTTCCAACCCTGACAAGAAGGGAAAGTTGAAGGGAAGGATCCTAGAAGTCCACCTCCTCCATAATAAATGTGGACCTGCTGCCCCCCCCTCCCTCTGCTTGCATAATGCCACCTTGGCAGAGGATGGCAAAGAGAGGACGTGCAGCTCCAATGTCCCTCCAGACCCCACCGCCACCACCACCACAGCCGGCAGCTGCTCTGGGGTTCAGCCCAACAAACAAAGAAAGGGGGGGGGCACAACACAGAAGCCGCTCTCCTCTTTCTGCAAAAAACAAGAACGAACGACGAAGCGGATTCCCAACAAACGGTCAGAGGAATGAAAGGTGGACCGGTTCAGGAACACCCAAGCAATGATGCTAATCTGTGATACCTCCTCATTTCAGCGTGCGGCCCCAACACTTCCTCTCCAGCCGGAGCCCCTACCTGTGACAGTAAATAACTCAAGAAGTAATACAATATTAACTAACTAAATGATGCATGCAGTATATATAGCCCTTACTCGTCATGCACATCCTTGTTCCAGTTGGCATATGCTGTAATTTTCTATTTATTCAAACTGTAAAATCATTGCAACAAACTGAATTATAATAAAACTAAAATACTTTATTTAAACCAAACTCTTATATTTGACGATGATGTGGTTTTGCATCTAAAGGCTAACGTTTACCGTCTTCTGTGCATTGTTGCCAGGTTGGGATGTTTCCCAATCTGGCGGTTTATCATGGCCGCCTATGGGTAAAAAAAGTATTTCTTTAGATTTATGGCCTAAGAGATCAATAAACTTTGGTTCAAATTGGGCGAGATTACATATATCCAGGCGGTTTATGAAAATTTTTTGGGCTGGAAAACGTGAGTCAGTGACATCTGGCAACCCTGCTGATGTGGTGAATGTGGACGTTATGCAGTAAAGCCGCATTATAGAAGTCTTGGTGATGGTTGTCGTGTGATACTTGAAGATAGATCGGTTAATCCACAATATGTATTCGTATTGTTTTTCACATTTGAGATGCACGCGTTTGACTGTGCTTCTGTTTTTTTTTCCCAGGGTGGGGGTCCATAAGTGGGCCGGAGTAGATGGAAAAATGCCAGGGCCGAAAATGGTTCCTAGTCTGAGCCTGGATGCTAGGATGCTAAAAATGTGTCTCCTTCAGTAAGGAAGGGAGGAAGGGATTCCTGATGATGCCACTTTGAAGGCTGCACCTGCTCCAGCACATGTGCATGACAGAGCCCTGCAACACCACACCTCAACAGATACGGTCTTTAAGCTCCTCATCACCTAGAAGCTGCACTATCAGGATTCACAGCATTATAGTTTTCTACTTGTTTGGAGCTCGAGTCAAAGACATTCATTTAAAGGATGTTATTTGATCTGCACTGAAAACCAGTGATGAAATTGTTCTTTTTTTACTCATAGTACTGTAAGAAAATATGGAAATATGCATCCATCACACAACATCCACCAACAGGAGTTCAATCAGTGCCATTAAGGTTAGACCTGTCATGTGTTTCACCAGTCAGGTCACTCCTACCCCCCAAAAAACACAAAAAAAACAATCAGAACCATCATAGAAGGAACTGACCCGTTTGCAGTATTTTCTGTAAATAATAAATGGTTTAAGATTTGAGAATTCTTAAGATTACTTGGAATAATTTATGGATGTACTTGGATACAAAGAAATCGAACTGACACACAATAGGTTCATGGAGACATTTTTTCGGATTATATGTGATAAAAGCAGGCAGATATGTAGCTTAGCATTTTCATCATTCATGAAGCTAAATGTTTATAAAATCTATGATTTTCTGACACGCTGTCATATACCTGATCTGCATATAGGCAATTTGTCTCAACATGTCACAGATTATAATCTCTAATTAAACAACAATAATTGTTGAAGAATGTGACTTCCACCTATATGTTTTATAAGAGTCACATAACCAATTTGTTCATAGACAAAAACGTAATCTCCAAAAAAAAAAAAAAAAAATAGGAGACATTATTACACGTTTTTTCAACATTTCTTTCATTCATTTTTTACATATGGCTCTCCACCCAGGGTGCCCTTTAGTTGGGGGCAGTCTGAGGTTGTTATATGACTGAAGATTACTGTTTACTGCTAGACTC